AAAAAAAAAAAAAAAAAGAAAAGAAAATTAGCTGGGCATGGTGATGTGTGCATGTGGTCCCAGCGACATGGGAGGCTAAGGCAGGGGGATTGCTTGAACCCAGAGATTGAGGATACAGTGAGCCATAATTGTACCACTGCACTCCAGCCTGGGTGTCAGAGTGAGACCTCGTCCAAAAAAAGAAAAAAAATTCTAGCACTTTGGGAGGCCAAGCGAGACAGTGTTCAAGATCAGCCTGGACAGCATGGCAAAACCGTGTCTCTATTAAAAATACAAAAATTAGCCAGGCATGGTGGCACACCTCTGTAATCCCAGCTACTTGGGAAGCTGAGGAAAGAGAATCTGAGGTGGAGGTTGCAGTGAGCTGAGACTGGGCCACTGCACTCCAGCCTGGGCGATAGAGAGAGGCTCTGTCTCAAAAAAAAAAAAAAATTTAAATTCAGCTCCTAGTTGCACTACCGCATTTCAAGTGCTCATTAGTGGCTAGTGGCTATCGGACTGAGCAGAAAAAGCACGTTTTCATCACTGCAGAAAGCTCTGCTGGACAGTACTGCTCCAGAATGTCAGCTGCAGGTGGATAGGGACTTCTGTTTTTGTTGTTTCCAGCTGCATTCCCAGTGACTGGCACTGTTCAGTATTTGCCTGTTGAATGACTATTGAAATTGTCAGACAGAGAGATTATGGGTGGCTGTGATCAATAATGTTAATTAATGTCCTAAGCCCCAATACTGGGTGGAGGTCATTGACGTGTGTGTGGGCGGGGGTGGGGGGGAATGCATGTAGGTGACCATCAAGCACAGGTGAAAGAGTAAGTATGAGTATTCCGGAGAGAAGGCTCTGCAGCAGAAAAGTGCAAGTGAGAGATTGGGAAGTCTAGGCCACCCTGCTGTGTATGAGAAACAACCTATATTGAGGGCACCAAGAGAAAACTTTTTAAAAAACTGTTCAGTCCTCTCCAGGCACCGTCTGTCTGCACAGACTTACCCCGGCCCCCAGGTAGAGACCGCCCTACCTGGCAGGAGCCAGAGGTGTTGGTAGGAACGCAGTCTGGGGAGGAACCCCGTAGGGAGAAAGCCCCGGGGAATGCGCGGCTTGGGTGGAAGGCGGGCAGTGGAGCCGGGCGAGGCCGTGTCCCTCCCTGCAGGACCTCAAGGAGTTTTGCCATCGGAATCAGGATTGCAAGTCTGGGTGCTGCCGCCAGGCTCCAAAAACCTGCGAGGCGCACTGCACGGAGAAAGGGTCCGAGGGCAGCTCGTGTCAAGTGCAGGTGGGTATCGGTGGCGCCCAGGGAGAGCCAGAGAGGATCGAGAGGAAGGGGGAACCAGGGTGGGCCCAGATTCCTGGGGAGGGAAGAAGCGTAGGTAGGGGGAAATGCCCTGGAGCCTGGAATTCTCCCGTGGGACTGCACCTCCAAGCCCTCTGGGGGAGCCTGTGGACGGAACCAATATGGGAGCCCACCCTAGGGGCTTGGAATCTTGGACGGGGGCGGGAAGGCAATGCTTCACTCTCTAATGTGGGTTCTCATTCTCCAGGGGTCCTCTCAGCAAACCCGAAAGTAGCACAGTAAATGGGCACAGCTAGGTCCGGCCTCTGCCCCAGACCCCGTCTTCATCTAGCCCAGGAGTTCTGCTGTGGCCCGGGTGTTCCTGGTGGAGGATGGGCAGAGGCAGACTCTGAGCTGGGTGTGTTGGGGAGGGAGTTGATGTGCCCATAGAGGGATTTAAAGACAAGCCTCAGAGGCCCCACCATGGACTTAGGACAGCCAGATGGGTCAGTGGCAGGCAGAAGGACAAAGACTGGAGCTGGGAGGGCACTGAGCAATCCAGGTGCCAGCCTAGAGAAGGCAGCCAGAGGCACCACTCTGAGCAGCTGGCAAGCTATCCTTTATCCCTGGCTCCTGGCTGTGGGCAAGCACGTGGGCCCTGGAGTTGGGCTGGGCTGGGCTTAGGGGCTAAGGGAAGAACTGCCTCCAAGGTCAAGGTCAAAGTCCTGTCTTTCCCAGGCATACTTTGGCCAATATAGAGAGTGTCCCTGCCAGTGGAACCTGACTTGTGTATATCCTAAGAATGAGAAATGGCTTCGTATCACCTATGGCTTTTGTCAGAAAACTGAAGAGAAGACATTGGCCCACAGAATGTTCTTCTAGTGCTCCCTCTTTCTTACTGCTTCCTCCTCTTCTGCCTGCTCTCCTCCCTACCCAGAGCTCTGGGTTCCGCCTTGTTCCCCGGAGCCTCCGCCATGAGTGGAGGGAAGGAGGAAGGAGTGATGCACCATCATTGAAATAAAGAGCATTCAATGTTTGCAGCCCACAGAGTTGGGGCCTGGGTGGGCATGGTACAGGTTTCTGGCAGGTGGGAGGTAAAATGATGGAGGAAGCAGGAAGGGACGCTGTTGGGCTTGGGGTCTTTCCCCAGTTGGGGCATGAATGAAAGTCCCCCACAGGAGACCAAAGCTCCCTTCCCACCCCAACCCCTTTCTGCCTTCAGCCCAGTCTATTATCTACACCCAGTTTATACCTGATATTTCAGTTCCATGACCTTAAATTTCAGAAATGTGAAAGAAGGAACACAAAACATTCATGTGTATAAAGAATTGACGGTGTTTATTGAGCACTTCCTAGATGCCAGGGGCCTTACACACATGATCTCATTTAATCCTACAACGAAGCTGTGCTGTCTGTCCTGTTATCCTCTCTGTTTTACAGGTAGGGAAAGAGGGGTTGAGCAACTTGTTCAAGGTCACACAGCTGGAAAGTGCTGAATCTGAATCTTTTGAGAGGCAAGAGAAGAGGGGGACGAGAAGGGAAGAAAGGAAGGAGGGAGAGCCTAGGAAAGTGAGAAAGAAAGACTGGAGGAACGACTGCAGTGTGGGGTTGGGGAGAGAATGAGTCAAGTGGAGTTTTAGGAAGTCTCACTGTGTGTGTGAGGCTTTTCGAGTTAGATGCTAGCTTGCTTATTTGTGTGTAGTGCCTGTTATATTCAGGTTACATTTTGGAGTTAATTCAGATTTTGGACCTAAGGATCCACATTCAGCCACCAGAACCGAGCCAAACGTGCCCTCCAGGATATTGGGCTTAGGATGCAAGGGTTCGGGAGTTTGGAGGTAAGCTATGGTTGTACTTAGAACACCCCCTTGTAAGTCACAGCAAAATGATGTGAAACATATCTTGGTAGAATATGCTGTCCTGTACTAAATGTATCAAACAGATAACCAGATTTCCATCGTGTTACATGAGCTCTCCCCATTCAGAAAAAACCTATGAAATGACCACAGAAGGAGAGGTGGCAGGCTGGACACTCAGCTTCCAAGGATACCCAATGTCTAAGAAGTTAGAACAGGAAGGGGAGAATACAAAGCCCAGAAATAAACCCAAGCCTGTACAGTCAACTAAGTTTCAACAAGGGCACCAAGAAGACACCATGGGGAAAGGATAGTCTTTCCAATAAATGGTGTTGGGAAGACTGAATATTCACATGCTAAAGAATGGAATTGGACCCCTATCTTATAGCACACACAAAAATAAACTCAAAATGGATTAAAGACCTAAATGTAAGACCTGAAACCGTAAAACTCTGAGAAGAAAATACAGGGGAACTATTACACGACATTGGTCTTGACAATGATTTTTTGGATAAGACAGCAAAAGCACAGGCAACAAAAGCAAAAATAAACAAGTGGGACTACATACTGAAAAGCTTCTGGGCCAAGCATGGTGGCTCATGCCTGTAATCCCAGCACTGAGGTCAGGAGTTCGAGACAAGCCTGGCCAACATGGTGAAATGCTTTCTCTACTAAAAATATAAAAATTAGCTGGGCATGGTGGTACATGCCCATAGTTCCAGCTACTTGGGGAGCTGAGGTAGGAGAATCACTTGAACCTGGAAGGCAGAGGTTGCCGTGAGCCAAGATTGCTCCACTGTGTTCCAGCCTGGGCAACAAAGCAAGACCCTGTCTAAAAAAATTAATTTGAGGAAATTTTATGATTTTATTTTGTTTTGTTTGAGACAGGGTCTCACTCTGTCACTCAGGCTGGAGTGCAGTGGCTCCATCTCAGCTCACTGCAGCCTCATCCTTCTGCGCTCAAGTGATTTTCCCATCTCAGCCTCCAGAGTAACTGCGACCACAGGTGTGTGCTACCGCGCCAAACTAATTAAGATTTTTGTAGAGATGGGGTGTCTCACCATGTTGCCCAGGCTGGCCTTGAACTCCTGGCCTCAAGCAATCCTGCTGCGGCCTCTCAAAGTGCTGAGATTACAGGCATGAGCCACTGTGCCCAGCTGAAATTTTACTTTCTTTCCAATATTGAATATTTTCATCCAGGAACATAAAATGCTTTAAAACAAAGTTGTTAATATTTTTTCATAAACATTTTTAGCCTCATGTGGAGAAAACAAAAAAGAAAGGGAGTTGGGGGCAAGATAAGTTGCTGATATGATTAAACTGGTTCCAAGTGTTGGCGGAGGAAAAACTTTTCCTCTATCCTCTTAAGTTCAGTACTTGAAGACCTGAGAATTAAACTGCTAAAAGAGAGACAACAGATTTTTTTTCAGAGTGTAGGGCAGTTCACGTAAAAATGTGACTCTAGGAGGAAGTTAGAATTTGAGGATTATGTACCATCTCAACAGAAGAAGGGGAGGAGGAGAAAGGGCACTCACAGGAAAGTAATTTTTAGGAAAGATCAATGGGCCCTTAGGAGAAAAGATGGGAGATTTGATAGTTTCATGACCTGTTTTGTGTTTTGTTTTGAGACAGAGTCTTGCTCTGTCACCCAGGCTGGAGTGCAATGGCACGATCTCGGCTCACGACAACCTCTGCCTCCCGGGTTCAAGCAATTCTCCTGCCTCAGCCTCCCAAGTAGCTGGGATCACTGGGGCACGCCACCACGCCTGGCTAATTTTTGTATTTTTAAGTAGAGACGGGGTTTCACCACGTTGGTCAGCCTGGTCTCGCACCCCTGATCTCGTGATCTGCCCACCTCAGCCTCCCAAAGTGCTGGGATTATAGGCTTGAGCCACCACACCTGGCTGACCTGACTGCTTAGGTGTGGTGCTGACTTTTCTCCTCTTCAACAATGAGTCCATTTTCCCTGGTTTTGAGAAACTCCTGGGAAGCAGATTTATGACAATGGAGCTCTTTTGCAGGGCTCTGCATTCAGGCAGGCAGAGTTCAGAAAAGAGCCTGTTCTCATCCAGCCTGGGCAGCATGGTGAAACCCTGTGTCTAAAAACAAACAACAACAGCAACAAAAGAGTAGCCAGGAGGTGGCATGCACCTGCAGTCCTAGCCTTGGGAGGCTGAGGCGAGAGGATCACTTGAGCACCAGGAGGTCGAGGCTGCAGTAAGTCATGATCGCACCACTGCTTTCCAGCAAGCAACAAAGAAAAAGGCCCATTCTCAAATGCCTTCTGCTCAAAATAATTTTTATGCCACTGTGGCATTTTCTAGACCCCTTTACAACCCATGGTGATTCCGCTGCCCCTATGGGAAAAGTGGTCATTGGTAGAGGCTGCTGTTGTCAGAATCCAGAGAGGCTGAGATGGAGTTTTTGCTCTTGTTGCCCAGGCTGGAGTGCAATGACTCAGTCTTGACTCATGGCAACCTTCACCTTCTGGGTTCAAGAGATTCTCCTGCCTCAGCTTCTTGAGTAACTGTGATTACAGACATGTGTCACCACACCCAGCTAATTTTGTACTTTTAGTAAAGACGGGGTTTCTACATGTTGGTCAGGCTGGTCTCAAACTTCTAACCTCAGGTGATCTGCCTGCCTCGGCCTCCTCAGCCCAACACAAAGCCTATTTTAGAAGACAGTGTTGAATATCTCATGCAACTTGTTGACGTTTACTGAATGCGTATCGCTTTCACACCATCATAAAGTGGAAAAATTGTCAGTCAAACCATTGTGAGTTGGGACTGTCTGGTTCTTTGAGCTGTGGCTAGACTGTGCCTCTGCTGTGCAGGCCAGTGATCCCCAAAAGCAGCAGAAATGGAGAGTCTACAGCAGCACTGGTTGATGGGAATAAAATGCAAGCTATATCATGTTTGGGATCTTGGTCACTTGCTCCTGCAGAGCCCAAAACCTAACTCCCTACTCACTTTTGGAGACCAGGGACATTTTCCTTATGCCCCCCTCCCACAGTCTAAAACATGGTGCCAGCCACAGTACGGTCATTCAGTGGACACCTGAGGAGGACGTGAACGCAGATCTCTAGGACCGAATGTGGCACCAAGGAGCATGACTTAGCCCTGCCTCAGGGCCTGAGACCCCTCCTGGGTTAAGGCATTGAAGGCTCCTCTTGTTGAGCACGTAATTCATATGTGGCAGACACCATAACCTGGTTTCACGGTAGCCCTTGCCCGCTTCCCTGCCCCCTTCCCTGCCAACTGAAACCCAATATTGTTTGGGCATCAAAGTGCCTGGCCCCAAGAGAGGGATCTTATTCCCTTTGCTTTCCCAGCACCCCTTGCAGCTAGAGATAGTCAGATAACCCAGTTCTAGGCACTGAGATATGAAGAGAAAGAGAAGAAGAGGGTATGGGCTGGGTGCGGTGGTTTACGCCTGTAATCCCATCACTTTGGGGGCCAAGGCGGGTGGATCACCTGTGGTCAGGAGTTCAAGACCAGCCTGGCCAACATGATGAAACCCCATCTCTATTAAAAACACAAAAACTAGCCGGGCGTTGTGCCAGTGCCTGTAATCCCAGCTACCAGGGGAGGCTGTGGCAGGAGAATTGCTTGAACCTGGGAGGTGGAGGTGGCAGTGAACCGAAATTGTGCCACTGCACTCCAGCCTGGGCAACAGGGTGAGAATCCATCCCAAAAAAAAGAAAGAAAGAAAAGAAAAGAGAAAGGAATCACAGAAGGGAGGCAGTGGAGTTAGATGGTACAGTGCCAACATTTTCTGATTATGTGACATTGGGCAAGTTCCTTAACCTCTCTGAAACTTGGTCTATGAAGTTTGGTTTATCCATAAAGTGGAGATATGAAAATCCCCCTCCTGCAATCCTTGTGAGCATTTGCTGGCACAGAGTAACGTGCTCTCGATCACGTCAGGGTCACGACCTGGGACGTGGGACACCGTCTGCGGAAGCCTGACCTGCAGACTCTGACTCAATGATGGATGAATGAATGCACTCTCACACTATCACAG